CCTGAGAGGGGTACGGACCTAGGGGGGTCTGGGCCTGGGGAGGGGGTCTTAGTGGGGGGCGCTCCCGTGGTCTCTGGGGGCTCCGGGCCTGAGGAGGGTCTGCTCTCGCGTCATTTGGGGGCTCTGGGCCTGAGGAGGGTCCATTCTCCTGTCATCTGGGGGCTCCGGGCCTAAGGAGGATCTGCTCTCGTGTAATTTGGGGGCTCTGGGCCTGAGGAGGGTCCACTTTCTTGTCATCTGGCGGGCTCCAGCCCTGAGGAGAGTCTGCTCTCATGTCATCTGGGGGATCCAGCCCTGAGGAGGGTCTGTTCTCCTGTCATCTGGGAGCTCCAGGCCTGAGGAGGGTCCGTTCTCCTGTAATTTGGGGGCTCTGGGCCTGAGGAAGGTCTGTTCTTGTGTCATTTGGGGGCTCCGGGCCTGAGGAAGGTCTGTTCTCCTGTAATTTGGGGGCTCCAGGCTGAAGGAGGGTCCGCTGTCACATCACCTGAGGGTGCAGGCCTGGAGGGAGCCCACTCTCCTGCTCTCTGAGGGGGGAGCCCCTTCCCGTGTGAGCAAGTGGTGCATGAAGGACCTGGCCTTTGGCCCGGGCTCTGCTGCGTAGGACCAGGGTTGTGCAGGCTGGAGGGCAGGCAGTGGAGACCAGTGGAGACCAGTGCCCTGGTCTGAGGAGTGTTTTGGGGAGAAATATCTGCTCTCCTGTGTCGGGCTGTTGGCGCATAGCTTCTGCTCCGCTGGGCTGGGTACTAACCATGAAATAGTTTGGTAATGGGAAGTGTTGAGGAAACTTCAAAGCAGGGAACGTGGCGTTGGGGGTTCTCAGTGGCCAGCCTGGGAAATGCCACGGAAAGTCAGGAAAGCAATTTCTCATGAGACAATTTGTCAGCCAAGCAGTTGAATTTTTAGACTTGACCATCAAGTATAAATTACTGGAGATGTTCTACCTACAGTTGACTGATGCTCTGTTGTATCCATGTTATTGTTAAAAAGGAACGATGTTTCTGCCTACGTATAATCAGTGTCATGATTCATCATTTGCAGCTGGAGCAGGAATTCATTCATTAGTTTTCTGTCAGTCACTGGCCCAAGCTGCTATTTGTCCGCCTGTAATCCCACTTCAGAAAATGCAGTGCATGCATACATCAAAAATGAAATCACATAATAACAGGAGAGACCAGACTTAAAATATAGGTCTCATAGAGATCATTGATAATTGGTTTATTAGTGCTTGTAGTGTCTTAAAATTAAGCTGTCTTTTAGCTGTAGCTGTGGTATAAATAAAGTCATCTCTAACCCTTTGTCATGACTGATGACGTTATCCATACAGACTGGATTTGATAATGTTCTGACAGGCATGCTGACCAAGAAACAAGTTTACACTATGATCAAATGTTAACACAAGACATTTATTCCTACCAAAATGGAAAAAAAAAAAAGCTATTGATGTATGTCATTTCAAAGTGATATTTAAAATATTTTCTGGATTCCATCCCAGGCTCAAATATTCTTTGGAAGAGTTCTAGTAATCCACATAGATTGCAGAATTCGGAAAAAACAACCAACCAAACAAAACCCCTCTGTTTGGATAGTCTGAAAATGTTCTTTTCCTTGTTCCATTTACATTAGTTTAAAAGATGTATCTAAGAGGATCACTTGCAACAGACTGCAGTGTAGAAAATAATTGTTTCTTTGGAGCCTTGGTTGTCTTTTGGATCCATGTCCAGGGATCTATTTCTTGTCTTCAATCTCTGCAGTTGATTTGACAGAATTTCATTCTCTTCACACAGAAAACGTGTTCTGATACCCTCGGCTAACTTGCATTTTGAAGGAAAAATGCTGAAATCCTTCATGCTCAAATCTGTGGATATTTTGGGAACAAGTTTTCACATCCACCTTACTTTTTTACTCTGGACAAAACACAGCAGCTAACTCTGTGCATTATTTGGAACCTCTTAATAGAAATTTACAGAGTCAATATATATCTGAATTTACTGCCTCTGAAGTTGAAATTAAGAGGTGTATCAGATAAGAATCGAAGCCCAAATGGCCTGACTTACCTGCTGCAGCTGGAAAGTTGATATATTTAGAACAAATGGGCATTACCCGGGAGCATTTCTGGCAGCTTGTTACAGGGGGATAAGATATTACAACTGCTCTGAAATTACAGAGTGACTCTTGTATTTCAGAATGTTCAGAACTTTGTTTTAAATATAGCTTGTGAGATCAGTCAGCAAGTCTTTATTTCTGGACTAATCATTGCTTAGAGAGGAATATATATTGATCAAATAGCAGTAAATTGAAATCATCCCTCCTTGAAATGAAGGCTTGGGGCAAAGGAAAGATTCCTGTTTAGTTTTACTTCTTAGTAAAAACTTGGCAAGATGTATTTCCCAGTTAAAATGTGTTCTGGTATATTCAGAGGTGATTTAATGTAAAATCACTGAAGTTGCCCCCTCGCAGGGCATTTTAAATGTGCCTGTAACTGTTCATCGTGGGTTTGTTCTTTGTTATTATAATAAAGATGTGCCTTACTTCATGCTCACCAGCCCTTCTGCTTACTTTTGGTTTTTTTAGTTTAAAAAAGGTATCTCTGTGGTTTTGCTCAGTGAATTTCTCTCTCTGAGTAAATGCCAGAGCTGACTGCAAGATGGTGGGTTTAAAGTCTTAAGTAGTCTGGTAACGGGGAGAAGGAGAGAGAGAGGCAGCTCTTTTCTGTTAGAGGATAGTAAATGGATCCAGCAGAATAAGAGCACTTCTGTCATAAGCGAGTGCTGCATGTTGAATACTCAGTACTGCAATTTTCTTTCTTCTAGGATATTACAGAAACTCCTACTAATGGCTGTTCCGCTTCTCTGAAACCATAGATTATTTGGAACACTGATGGGTGGGCAGCTGTTTCATTCTGAGCCTTCGTTACAATGAGGTATGACGCTTGTGGTGCTTCACTTGAGGAAAGAAACAGATTTATTGTGTATGCCCAACTTACCATCGTGTTAGTATTCTGATGCTCTACTATAGCATATTCTGGACCAAAAAAAACCCAAACTTGTTTATCTCTAAAGAAAAATGCGAGGAGTATCCTGAAATGCATGCTAAATATGCCAGCAGTTTTTGGTAATGGTAGCAGATAAATTGTTCTTTTATTCTCTTTTCATTTATAAACAGATACAATGTCTTCCCTACATTTTCAGTTTAAATATGCGTAGTAAGATTGCTAATAAGGTTAAAATACAATCAAAATCTGTTACTAGGTAACAGAGAGACACAACAAGCATTTATGCCACTGTCTTAGTGTTAATCGTAAGCTACATTTAACATATTTGTTACCTCCGTGTGAAACAAATGGAAAGAGAAGCTCACCTTGGTGTGTTTTACCTGTGGTGTTATTAAATACTGACAATATAACGTAACCCAACATTTTCCATAACTGAGCACCCGGAGTTAGTCACACATACTTGGCCTGGGTGGAATCCAGTCCCTCTGGATGATCAATGACAAAAATCCCATTGAAGGGCTGCAGCACAGGCATCTCATGGGCAGCGTTCAGCTTTCATACCAGCACTTACCAGAAATCAGCACTTACCTAAAAGTAAGTTTTATTAGATTTTGACATCTGGTTTTAACAATAGCATCCTGAACCGTGCTCTGCTCCAGAGGGGATTGTTCAAGTGCTACGAATACAGTTCTTGTGAAAAAGAAACTTCAAGGAAGGATTTGAATGTCTTCAACGCAAGGGTATCTAGAAAAGCCAGGGGCACGTGGATGTGCCTTTAGTGCCTTTTGCTACCAGAAGATGGGCTTTTGCTCTGTCTCTGAGCTGCATAGAGAGCTGCTGTTGATTCCAGGGAAAAAACTAAAGTGCTTTAATGTGGCCTGCATACAACACAACATGTAGATTGATTGCTTCCAGAATATTCCTGCATTTCCCACTTTTGTCACGTCTGCCTGTGTGTTGTGGCCTCACAGGCAGTAGAGGGGTTCGGACAGCAGAGAGAACACAGTATGGAGATGCCTTTAACCACCTTCTGTAGATGAACGTTCCTGGGCTCCTGGCTCACTTACTGCAGGGCAACGTACAGTCCTTTGCTAATACGGACTGGATCTCAGAACAATCTCTGTAGTAATAAAGCATAAACATCTCCTGTGGTTAAAGTTTCTCCTGGCTGGCTGTTATCACTGGTTACGCTGCACATTCCAGGAATTGTTGAGATTGTTTAGAAGGCAAACCACGATCACAAAAACAGCTGTGGAACAACACTGGTATCCACTGACGTAAAACTAGATGCTTGAGAGTGGAGCTACTTTTAACTTTAACGTGTAGTAGATACATGATTGACATAGAAGGAACAAATTAATTACATCACCAGGAACATTTGTGAGTAAAGAAGGGAGAAGTTAGCTTAAAGGATATATTGAATGACACTGAATAAGCGTTTCCATTGCTTTTTTATTTATGCTAACACAACAGTCCTGCAGCCAAAGATATTTCTGGCTGAAGTATTTAAAGAATTAATGGCTCTTTGTACGTAACTGGAAAATGAAATGTTTAATTTTTATTAATAGTTTGAAGAGGTATATCAAGGACAAATTTAAAAATTAATAGAAAATAGAAATACATATCAAAGATCTTCCAATAGAGGGAAGAAATACAGATAAGCTGGAACTAGGAGGAATTTCCTGAATCATCAGTTTTATCTTCTGTTGCCTGAGGTGATCATATCACATCATATCGTATCATATCATATCATATATCGTATCATTCCTTTCATAAAACTACCAAGTTACAGGTAACTTATTTGGGGTATAGTTAATTGACCTGTAAAGATGTCACAAGCCAACAGCATTGCCAATGGAACCATTTCTGCTCTTTTTTATTCTTCTGATGCTGCTTTGTAATGGCTTAAGCGTTGGTGTTGGTAGTAACTAGACAAGCTACTTCATTCAGCCCTAAATGTACTACTGACATTAAAAGGAACTTTTACTTCTGAAACTTTACTTCAGAACTTACTTCTGAGGTATGAACACTCTGCATAAAACAAGGGCTGCGTCTCAAAGAGCTTTGCCTCACAATTTGTTGTTCAGCTTCTGCTATGCTGTCATGTTAAAATCTTATTAAAATCTTATCTACTGAATGCATGCACTAGTCATTGGAGATGTAACCCATGCTATGACATCATGTGGCAAGAGTTAGTGGAAAAAGGGCTGTTGGTGATAAATATAGCCATTCGCTCATATCTCAAGGTCTCGGATGGTATCCCACTTGATAAGTGAGTCTCTAAATGTGAATGATGACGCAGGTCAAGTCTCTCGTTTCTACTCAGAAGTGTGGATGGCATTTGTGGTGGCCATTGTGCATAGAGCCTTAAGATGCTACCAGGAAAAAGGGGATTGACAATGCTGTTTTCCTCTGAAGAAAAAAAAAAAACCCAAACCCTAGTGGTAATAATGTGATGTAAACAAGCTTTATAATGTGTATAACATTTAGAAAGGGTTATCTTGTCGATATTAATAAACCTTACAAGATACGAAAGGGTTTGTAATGTCTATATTCTGTTATCAGCAATGGGAAATTAAATAGCCACCTTCTCTCCCTTTCATGTGGTTAAGGGCAAATTTGGGGTTGAGGAAAGTAGGTATTTTGGCCAATACCAAGAGCAGAGGAGAGTTCTGACAAGGACAGACTGTGAAGGAGGTGGGGGAAGTGGGCAATACAGAAATACCAGAAGCAGGAAATCGCAGCTCACAATTACAGGAAATATTATTAATAGATTAATCTTGGTATAAACTGTAAGCATAAAATAACTGTGATAGAAAAGAAGGTGCAATACTGCCTACTCTTAAAGTGAAAAAATACTCCAGTGAGGTAGGTAGTAGCCAGCACTTCCATGTGTGGCCTCACAATGGAGAGACTTTGGAAACAGACTGGTTCAATGGGAAGAGTCGTCCCCTCTCTCCTCCACAACCTTGCAACGGGCACCTTTCCCTGCCTTTCTGCCACCAGGAAGCAGCAAAAGGAGGAACCAGCGCTTCACACAGAGAGGTGTGTGTCGCAGAAAACCACATTTCATCATCCACGTGTTGGGAGTCATTGGAATAGCAGGTAATTATGCCAGCCAGCTTTGTTGTTCCACTGCCGAGTCCTTCCTGTGGGAAAGGGCTGTGGTTACCTGCTACACAACCAGCTCAGCAAGTCGTGTCCTAGCCCTGATGAAACACGGGGAGAGAACTTACCTCATCACAATTAAAAACCTGCTCTGTTTCCATCTGCGTAGCACGGAGCTAACTGTTACGGCAAGGGCAGATCACAGCTATTTAACTCCACTGCCTAACGAGAAAAAAATAACGCAGGTAGAGCTATTAGAGAGGAGGGGTGACATCAATCCATCCTGACTGATGTCCTACTCTGGGTAAATAATTAAACCTTTCCTAACCTACTTTTCCATACCTAAATGTACAATATGAAATTTATTTTTTTTTATTTGACATTTTCAAAGCTCTAATATAGCAAGAGATAATTTAAAAGAGCGTTTATAACAATGAGTCCAAACCTGAAGTCATTTTCACTGGAAGAAGTCAGGAAGAGCTAACACTCCAGTTAGCGGACTTATACCCATAACTCCAATCAGAATGGAATCTTAATTTAGTTAACCTGAAATACAAAGTAGTGTTCCTGATGCTTTGAGTGAGAATCTACAGAATTTTTAAAATAGTATTTTAGCAATTTGAGTTCCAGTACTTATTCAATTGTAATTGAAACACTACAATTTTAATAAAGAAGCACTAGTTGTAAGAGTTACATTATCCACACATGAAAATACAAACATTCTTCAAGTTGTGATTTATATGCAAACACAATTTTATTAAAATTAAGCATTAATCAAGTAATAATTCAGAGTAAGATACCCAAATGTAGCTGATACATGTTACCATATCAGACCTGGGCCCTTCAACTGGACAGAGATTTTTCTGCAAGTCTCTCTGAATTTGATATAAGGTTACTATGGGAAATTTAGGATATCTAATCTCCCTGTATCTAAATAAAGGTTCTGATACTGCATAGTACGAGGTGTTACCAAACCAATGAAGACAGGGATTAGAACAAGAAATAAAAGGTGGCAACAGGCCTGGCTAGAGGAGAGACAATTGAAGATAAAGGAATGGTGACACTGAAAGAAACTTCCCTAGTGCGAGTTCCTCAAAGATCCGTCTTGGGACTGACTTTAATATTTTCATTAATTACACTGGCACTTAGTGTCCTACTGACTTTCACTAATAACTCAGAGCTGAGCAGCATTTTTACAATAAAGAAGATTTTTGAAACATCATATGGGGAGCTTTGGAAGACTAGAGACGGAAGTGCTTATGTGACTAGATGAAATTCAACAGCGCAAAATGAGAGATCATCCACCTGCTGGCTGGCCAGTATTTCTGTTATTAGCAGAATCTCATCTGTGGGAAACCATCACAACAGGAGAAAGACCCACACGTACTATTCAACGGCAGAATCACTGCAGTTTCTGGTGTGATGTAGCTTTCAAAAGGACAAATAGGATGCTAGAACACAGCAGGTGAGAACGTATCCAAAATAAATAAGTTTTTCTTGTAGAAAGGACTTGTGAGCCTTCATCTGGAATACCATATGCATTTCTGGTCAACATTGCTTAAGAATGCTGAATTTTGACTGCAGCACGAGCAAAGGGGAATTAAAACAATCAGGGCACTGGTGACTGTCTAACAAGAGGAGACTAGCTGTTCTTGGCTTGCGTTATCTAATGAAGATTGAATACGGATCTCTATAAATACATCACAGATTAAATACTGGGAACTGAGAAGAGCTCATTAAGTTAAAGGAGAGTGTTAGCCAAAAAGAAATGGATACAAACTGGCAATGAATAAATTTAGTCTTGACTCACTGCCTTGACTTTCAGATATGACATAACTGCTGATAACTTTATGGAAGGATCTTGGTAATGAAATACTGGCAGCTGCATGGTGAAATCAGGATGGCCTGAAGGTGAGGACCACTATGGTTTAATGATAACAGGAGGGCAATAGCTTGGCAAAGACTTTGATCCTAATGTGCAATCAAATCTCATCCCACTTCTTTGGTCTATTTCTCTCTGTTTCCTGGGGGTTTACGGTCTGTCGTTCTCTCCCCCTGCAAATACAGCTCTCTTCTGAACATGCTGCTACACTTTTTGCTTCTAAATTGTCCAAGGAATTAGTGCAATTAGTTTAAACAAAGAGCAACTCTCTCTTATGAAGTTTGCTGTTGCTTTATCAGACTTGCAGAAGGATCTATCTGCCTGAAGAGCTATTCAGTTTTTCCAACAAAGCCAGTGAGAATAAATCAGATAAATATACCATTCTATGATTCTCTTTTGTATTTCTCCTAAGTTAACAAACATGGTCCAGATAATGAAGAAAAATAGGGAATGTGTATGGGTTTAATTATCACATTTGTACTGTGACCCACTCTAACTTAGAAAATTATTTGTTTCTCTGAAATACGGGACTAAGAGATTTTGGGTTGTAAGAAAAAACATCAAGAACTGTTAGCACATGAACCTGGTTACCTTGGAGACTCAGTCAGAAATTAATGAGCTGACATTAACTCGATGACTTTGGTGAAAGGAGACTGAAAATGTAAAATGATCCCAATTAGAATCTGAAGCAAAAACCGGAGGTAGCTGGAAGGGGAGTTCTATTGTGCGTTGCCAGTTCCACTCTGACACTGAATCTGAACATTTCCTGGCCAAAGACACGGACAGAGACACTGGGAACAGCCACAGACGCTTTGTTGTTCCATTCTAAGATAGTAGACCCTAAATACCATGGTGTAGTTAAGCAATAACAGGGTATCCTGTTTTAAAAAGATGTTATGTGGACCTGTAAACATCAGTTCCTGAGGGGTCAAGTTCACCCTAGCTGAATGGGAAGCCACGGTGAGAGAGCGTGGTGCTGAGGCAGAAGCCCAGTCTCTCGCCTGCGGTGCCTCAGTGTTCCCTGCACACAAAGCAAAAGCCCCAGCCAGCAAAACAGAGACGCTCCTGGAGGGACAAGACAGAAATCAAAGGCAAGTGGGATCTCGTTTTCAAAGGTTACAGCTAAACTCATTTTGCAGAGTTAAAACCACTATTTGATTATGACATAAATGCTATTCGTTAAGATTCGGCACCACTAGCATTCCAAATCCATTTTCAGCAGCTCCTAACTGGGTTAAAATATCATAGAATCCCTTTCTGGGAAATGCTATTCTTTAAGATTCGGCACCACTAGCATTCCAAATCCATTTTCAGCAGCTCCTAACTGGGTTAAAATATCATAGAATCCCTTTCTGGGAATTTGATGAATGAAGACTATAAACAAATAACTTTTTATTATTACCTCAATAGAATCAATAGCTGGCCTTGCCCAGGCTAGACAGCAAAGACATTTCTAAATAAACAAGATTATTATGACTGCGGTAGGTAATTAGGGTGTGAAGCATCCAGCTACTTAACATAAAGATAGTAGTTAGAATAGTTAAGACCAGACTCCAATCAAAAATAAGAAAACAACCATCACAGGTTGAAATATAAACAAACTCTCAGTTTTTTCAATGTTTTTCAGTGTTCATAAATAAATGTTAATCTTGTGATCAGATCCTCTAATGGATACAACTTGCTTCTTCCATATGTATTGAAGCAGTATTTGGGATTAAGAAAACAGGTTTTCTTAACCTGTAATCCAATTCTTACGTCATAAAAATTTTGATGTAATTTTTTGGCAGTTTTTGCCACATCACACTACAGCCTATGTTAATAAGCATTTTCTCTGTTTCCAATGGCAAATAAGACTTTTTCCCAAACCAAAGCACACTTTTCTCTAAAAGTAAGACAGGTTTTACAAATGGTCTTTTTAAGCCAAGGAACAATTTCTGCCTTTCACTCAATTACCATTATTATTTTTCTAAATGAAAGGAAACATCCAAGAATAATACCCGAGCTACAAGTATCAAACTATTACTCAGCACGTGACTTAATAATGAAATCTCCCTTTTTATATTAAGTAACATTTGTGAATGTATTGATGACATCTCCTGTACTATATCTAACTTCTTAAATTTCTTACGAATGACATTTCACTAATATAAAGAGATTGCTATGTTATCCCTTTCCAGCTTGAACTCAAGGAAGAAAATAAATCTAGCATTTCATTTTCTCTTGGCAGTTTGTATTGCTTTCCATATTTCTTCTGCGGATGAAATGAGATAGCTCCCAGAGCTTGCAGAAGAGGTGCAATTAGTAAAATTATTTTTATTCTTGAAAATAAAGGCCCTTTTTTTCTATAAGCCATATAAATCCCTCACACTTCTGTGGATTCACAGTTGAAATGGTTTTTTTCCATGCTAATCACTCCAAATATTGCAAATGGTGATTTTTTTTTTTTTCCATATTTCTTCTGCGGATGAAATGAGATAGCTCCCAGAGCTTGCAGAAGAGGTGCAATTAGTAAAATTATTTTTATTCTTGAAAATAAAGGCCCTTTTTTTCTATAAGCCATATAAATCCCTCACACTTCTGTGGATTCACAGCTGAAATGTTTTTTTTTCCATGGTAATCACTCCAAATATTGCAAATGGTGATTTTTTTTTTTCAGATAAAGGAAACTAAGCCTATAACCTGGTCCATAAAAAATTAAGTATCCCATTGAACAGACTTAGGTGTTAATCCTAGCAAAATTCCATTAGAAGCAATCATCCTGCTTAAAAATCCTTTCAGCTTCTACTAGGTAAGTCATTATTTTCCTTTCATATTTATAGAGTTGTGCCGTGTTGATGTGATGTTTGATACTAAATGCTTGCCATGTCTCTAGGTGTAACCTGAACTCAAGCAAAATTGAAGTGATTTTTAGTGTAAATGTCAATAATTATAGAGGTCAAAGAGCTCTACAGATCAAATAGTATATTCAAATATAGATTGATAACTTTACAGTTTTTCCAGCTAGCCCATACTCTGTGATGGACTTCTATCAAGGGAGAGCTGTAAGACAATTACGCAGAGCTTTTAGTCACACACTATTGTCTTCTAACTATGTGAAAACTAGAATGTCAAAGCGAAAGCAAACACGCCACTCATAATGGCTTATACTCAGGTTTGACACCAGTCATGAACTGCTGAGATTTTTTCTTCTTCTTCAATCTCCATCACCTAAGCTGCTATTCTGAGTTTCCTCCACGTTTTCTTCTCATTCAAATGTAGCTTTAAAAGCCCGTCTGAACTTCTCACCTCTGTTTTCAAACATATTTGAGGAGGGAGAGGTGGATGCAGCGTGTGGTGGGAATTGTTGCATTTGGGTGCCACCTTACATGCAATATTCCCTAAAATATGTCATGATGTGGGGAAAATATTTTTTGACCTGACAATAATTTACCTGGAATGCATGAACTCTACTCTCCAGTGAGCACCTAACCACTGGATTTTCAACAGCACTTTTAGCTTAAATAGGAAGTCGTCTCCTTCCCCTAGCTTTACATAGTGAGCATGACATCATATAGCATGGAATATCCCTTTGGTCAGTTGTCTCAGCTGTGTCTTCTCCCAACTTCTTGTGCACTCCCAGCCTACTCACAGGTGGGATGATACGAGGAACACAGAAGATCTTGATTACTTAGCAACAATCCCAAACACTAGTGTACTGTCAACAGTATTTCTCATCCCAAACCCAAGCCATAGCACTGTAACAGCTGCTGGCATCAAATGTTAACTCCATCCCAGCTGAAACCATGATGTTCTCCGCCGCATATTCCGTGCCATATGATATCACGCTCAGCACAGAAAGCTGGGGAAGAAGAAGGAAAGGGGTAACGTTCAGAGTAAGGAGGATGGGGCAACGTTCAGAGTGATGGCGTTTGTCTTCCCGAGTAACAGCCAAGTATGATGGAGCCCCATTTTCCTGGAGATGGCTGAGCCCCTGCCTGGTGATGGGAAGCAGTGAGTGAATTCCTTGTTTCACTTTGCTTGCGCACACAGCTTTTGCTTCACCTGTTAAACTGCCTTTATCTCAACCCACCGGCTTTTCCGCACTTTTACTCTTTGGATTCTGGAGCACAAGCCTTATGAGGAGAGGCTGAGGGAGCTGGGGTTATTCAGCCTGGAGAAGAGGAGGCTGAGGGGAGACCTTATTGCTCTCTACAACTACCTGAAAGGAGGGTGTAGAGAGGTGGGGGTCGGTCTTTTCTCCCAAGTCACGGGCGACAGGATGAGAGGAAATGGACTCAAATTATGCCAGGGGAGGTTCAGGCTGGATATTAGGAAAACTTTTTTCACAGAAAGGGTTCTCAGCCATTGGAATGGGCTGCCCAGGGAGGTGGTTGAGGCACCATCCCTGTAGGTGTTCAAAAGATGGGTTGATGTAGTGCTGGGAGGTATGGTTTAGTGATTGCGATGCTTTTTGTTTGTTGTGTGGGTGTCTATTTTTGTCAGTTGGGTTGACGGTTGGACAAGATGATCTTTGAGGTCTCTTCCAACCTAGAAGATTCTGTGATTCTGTGATTCTCTCCCTCGCCCCACCGGGGGCAGAGCGAGCGACCAGGCCCGTAGCGACCAGGAGAGACGAAGGAAGAGCCTTCCCACCCCCGGGCGACGGGCCGCCCGAGCATGGACGAACCCGCTCCCCGGGGAGCGGTCTTCCAGGGCGAACCAGCCCCGGGGGGCTTGCTCCCGAGGCTGGGGGCCCGCTCGGTGCCTCGGCGGAGGCCATGGCTTGGCCGGGGCGGCGGGGGAAGCAGCGGAGCCGCCGCCGCCGTCGAACCAGGCCCCAACGGCGCCGCGGAACCCGGCGTCACGCGTCACTTCCTGCCGGAAGTCGGGTCCCGGTTGCCATGGCTCCGCTGGCGGCGTCCCGCAGTCACCGGGGCGCAGGGCGGGCCCGGCCGGCCCTCAGCGCCCCGCCGTTCTTCGGAGCCCCGCCAGCCCCGGGAGCTCCGCTGGGGCTGCGGGCGCTTGCCGTGCCGCCTGGAGGAGCCGGAACCCCAGCGCCGGTGAGGGGCGGTGGCGGGGCGCTGAGGCGCGGCGGGGCCCCGGGGCCTGAAGCAGCGGAGCCGCCACCGCCGTCGGACCAGGCCCCAACGGCGCCGCGGAACCCGGCGTCACGCGTCACTTCCTGCCGGAAGTCGGGTCCCGGTTGCCATGGCTCCGCTGGCGGCGTCCCGCAGTCACCGGGGCGCAGGGCGGGCCCGGCCGGCCCTCAGCGCCCCGCCGTTCTTCGGAGCCCCGCCAGCCCCGGGAGCTCCGCTGGGGCTGCGGGCGCTTGCCGTGCCGCCTGGAGGAGCCGGAACCCCAGCGCCGGTGAGGGGCGGTGGCGGGGCGCTGAGGCGCGGCGGGGCCCCGGGGCCTAACCTGGCGGGTTGCGGCCCGAGCCCGGGGTCGTGTGGGTGCAGTTGGTTTCTGTGGAGATTTGACAACTGCAGGAGCCGAGGGCGGTTCCCTACCGGCCTCGAGTGACACTAGACGTTGCTAACGGGTGCCCGTTTCATGGTGCTTTAGGCCCAGAAACCGAATATGTCCGGAATTTTGTTGTTGGTAATGCTCCTGGAGCCATCGTACTTTGAGCTTTCACCTAAATATGTCTCACCTGTTTAACAACGTTCCCTGTATTTTGCTGCCACTCCTGGGACAGATGGGGATAAGGCTGTACTTTGTATACGCTTGTCACAGGCGGGGTGATTAACTTCACTTTTAAGAGAAAAATAGTGAAATATTTATTAAGGTGAAACAGCGATTTAACAAAATCAGTAGTAAGTGCAATAAAACCACTACTAAATTCGATAGTATTTGACGAGATTTGATGTCAAGGTACACTCTATTATATACTGTCAGACAAGCTGTCGGGGAGACCCTTCCGTTGAGTCACGAGGTTCAGAAGGAACTTTCTGAGCTCCTTCTCAGAGAGGAGTCTGGGTGCAGCTGGATCCAGTCCTAGTCCCAGACTTGGTCAACGGTTTATGTCTAAAGGAGTATATATGCACAATCAACCCTCTATATTAGTTAGCTAAGATTTCAAAGTTTAGCATGCTATGTATTAGTT